TAGCAAGGATATAGTGCGTCAGATTAATAAACTGGCCACGGATTCACAACGGCAGCTGGGCGATTGGTTCTTTTAATCCACAAAAAAAAAACAAAGCCAAAAAGGTACCAATATTATGCCAATGACAGGGATCCTATTGTCCGATTCACAATGATTCGTTGCTTCAGTCTGAAATGTATAGATATAGGAGTTAAGCATCTGTGCCACCTATGGAATTTTGAAAGAATGGGCCAATTTGAAGCGTAAAGCCTAGCAAGGACTGTTTCACTCCCTTTAGGTGCAGAGGTTGTTTGAAGTCAAGTATTAGGTAGACAAAATATTTTTTATGGGTTTTTTTGCGTACTATTGTGTTTCTGAAATCTTATGCATTGACACAATTTTTAAAATTTTGGGAAATTGGAAGGTATGATCCTATATTGGTTTATTTGTTCGATGTTTGCATATCTAAAAACTATTGGCGTTCACAGCTGCCATCCAAACGAACAGTGTTTATCCAACCTCATCAAAGCTGGGCTCTGAATCATGGCTGCTAGAATGCCATCTGCGGAACACCTAGGTAATATCCTATCGATGAGCAAAGTTACTATATATAACATAAAAATGTGGAAAAGATAATTATTATAACGGAAAATAGGATATCGAAGAATTTGCAAGCTTTTCCTGACAACCTTATACCAAATTGGTAGAAGAACGGTTCTATTTTGGGATATTGAAGGTATGACAAAGATGAAAAGATATGACGCTATGTTACTGTATCTCCAACTTCTATTCCTTTCTAGGATTACATTATGGCGGAGCCGTTGCGGTTGAGTGGAATTTATTGGTGTGTGAGTGCCGTCATGATTTTGAACAAGGTCCATTCAAACCTTCCAACATATGCTATCAGATCATTCATCCTATTATTTGTTAAGATCTCTAGACATTTAGCCCAACGCATTAAGTCGTGAAGCGATTATTGAATATATTCGAGAATGTCAACGACCTGATGGCGGTTTCGCACCAGCTACCCATCATGACAGCCATCTTCTCCATACGTTGAGTGCAGTGCAGGTGATCTTTGCTATCATCGTTTTTAACACAAACTAGAGGCTCTGTTTGCAGATACTTATGATGTATGAAGCACTGGATAGCTTTGACTTGGATATGATCGCTGATTATGTACGAAAATTACAAAATGAAGACGGTAGCTTTGGTGGCGATGTATCAAGTTTGTTTATTTTGATTAATATGGCTCCCGAATATCAAGCAAATCTTTTTTCAGATGAAGTAGACACGAGATTTTCGTTCTGCGCCGTTGCCACCCTTTATCTTATTGACAGGCTTCATGTAATTGATGTGGAGAAAGCGATTAAATACGTGCTTAGATGTTATAATTTTGATGGTGGTTTCGGGACAAGACCTGGTTCAGAAAGCCATTCTGGACAGGTACATTATAACTTATTTTTAGAAACATAGAATACGACTGATGAAGCAAGGCCAGAGCTTGTTAGTATTTAATTTAACTCGTCTAAATAAAAAACATCAACAGAAAATACATTGAGTCCTCATTTTTGGCATATGAATGCAACTGGCTATCAGATTTTCGATAATGCTCACTTGCACCCAAAAGGGACGGAGTTCAAGCTCCATGGCAGAACAGATGTGTGAGAGGAGTCTGAATAAAGGGGCAGAGCTGAAAATGAATGTTTTATTGTTTAGAGATCAATTTTCTATATGCTTATAGATAGAATAGATATGAGCAGAAGTCTGTCTGAGAGGAGGTGATCTGTAGTGGGCGGGCTATTTTGAGCGGATGAGACTTGAAATGAACATTTTGCACCATTTCACTCAAAATTTGATGTAAATAGCACAAATTTTAAGGTGTATTGTTGTCTTGGAACCCTGTGTATTACCAGGAGGCTTGATTCAATTGACAGGGACCGGACAGCAGAGTGGCTGGCACAACGCCAGTGTGCTAGCGGAGGTTT